TTTTTTTTCAATTACCCAGAAGAATATCTCTACTCCTCTAGAGCTGGAAGTTATATAAAATCTTAAACTTGCCTAGTTACTTGTAGACTGTGTACAGAAGTTGATGATATTTGAAATTATAACAAACCCTGCAAAACCATACCTCAGGTATTATGATTTTGGCAGCTGGGTCTAGCCTTATTCCCAAACCCAGTTTTCAGTTGCTGCATGACCCTTCTCAATGTACAGGAAGTAGTATATTGCAAGGGTACATGGTTCCTCTCTTTTTAGGTCCATACCCAGCTCTGATCCTTTAGCAAGCAACATTCCCAGCAAGGAGGCAGATGAAGCCTGTGGACTGCAGTATGGAAACCCTGTTCCTCCACATTTGCAATATCACCTGCCCCTTTTATTAAAGTTCAGTACCCGTATTAGAACCATTCCAATGAGTTGTATCTTCAAATCTTAGGTTTGTAGATCCAACTTATAGCTTAAGAGAAAAATTAGTAATCAACAGGGAGTCCCCTATGAACAACATTTTAATGCTGTAATAAATAAATTGAAAAAAACAGGAGATCTCTGTTTTATTATTTTTATCATTATTTAATATATAATGGGTCAGTAATTCAAAAAAATAAGAAAGAATAAACTACTTTTATTTGCAATAACATGTACGAACCTGAAAAATAAACTGAGAGAAAATGAAGCAAGACACAGAAGAGCACACACTATGTGACTCCAGTATATGAAATTCTAGAATAAACAATTCTAATCTTTCCTGGCAAGAGCCTGGAACTGGGGTATGGGAGGTGGAAGTGACTGTAAAAGGGCACAAGAACACTTTTAATGGTGATGGAAATGTTCTCTGTCTTGACTGAAGTGGCATTTATGTATATGTGTGTGTGTATGTGTGTGTGTGTGTGTGTGTGTATCAAAATTCATGGGATTGAGTACTTTAATTGTATGTAAATTATACATTAATACATTCTTTTTAAAAAATAAAAAAATCACAAAAAACTGTTATAAAAGTTATTTTTTATAATTAAAAAATTACAGTTAGAATTGTAGAGTCCTTTAGAACTTTGGAAAAACTGAGACTTATGGAATTACATATAAAGTTGATGTGAATTAAACTGCAGAGCTTTGAGTCCCAACTCAGTTCATCTACCCTTTACTATATTGCCTGTAATCAGAATAAATAAACAGGTTAAAACCATACATGCTGTATAGTAGACATAAGTACCAAGAATTCATATACACATACCAAACATTCATATCTATCTACAATGAGTACATATACATATACATGTATATGATGTGTGTTTATATATGACAATATTTATTTCATGAAACGGAATGATTTCAGTTTTCTAATTAGAAAAAAAAATTGTTATTGCAATTTTGTGCACCTGTGGTACATTAAAATCTTGTATAATATTGTATATATATTTAATAGGTTTAAGGTGAGAGAAATTTAACTAAATATAAACAGTAATCAGGCAACTAAAATAAAACACTTCTTAAACGTTAACCTCTTTAATTCCTTCAAAGAGCAGAGGTATGCTGCATGATCTTCATGGCATTTTGAAATTTGGGACAATTCAGGGAAATATTTTTGATTTCTCAATTTGTTTCTTAAGCTGGGAAAGCACTACATTCCTATCCCTAAACAATGTGTGTTTGGGTCAGCTTTTTCGCCACTGTGACTAAAAGACCTGACCAGAATAATATTAGAGGAGGAAAAGTGTATTTGGAGGCTCACTGTTTCAGAGGTCTCAAACCATAGACAGTAGGCTCCATTCCTTGGAGCTCATGGTGAGACTGAACATCATGGTGGAAGAGTGTAGTACACAGAGGCAACTCACATGGGATCAGAGAGCAGAGGGACTCTACTTGCCAGATATCAAAGATATATATCCTAAAGGCAAGCCTCAAAGACCCACCTTCAGCCACACCCTACCAGCCTTTAGCTCCCACCCATC